TTGGCCAGACACACACACACACACACACACACACACACACACACACACACACACACACGAACACACACACAAACACACACACACACATACACAATACAAAAAAAATAATGATAATAAAAGCCAACCTCACACAGGAATCGAACTCAGGTCTGTTGCCTTCGTTATAGCTGTTGCTGTGGTTGTTATTGTTGTTGATGTTATTATTGTTAATGATGATGTTGTTGCAGTTGTTGTTGTTGTTGTTGTTGTTGTTGTTGTTGTTGTTGTTGTTGTTGTTATCGATTTTGTTTTAGTGTACGTTGTCGTTGTCGCTGTTGCCGTTGATTAGTCAGGAGTCGCAAGGCCTACTGAGTGCAATTAATTTACCAGCGATGAACATAATGGTCTGCTTGGAGAACAAAGGTACGTCTTCGACAGCACTGGGATGGCGTCGTACCAACAACACAAAATGTTCTTATGTGCTCTGTAAAAAAACAAATCCAAAACAAACAAACCAAAACAAAACAAAACAGAGACAAAAAAACAACACTTTTAGACTTTAAAGAAACGTACCAGAAGCGACCATGTAGCTGTCGTTGATAGCCTCCACTTTGTACACGTCATGGTGGTCAAGCCGTTGGTCAATCTCAGTGTACAGATTGTTGAGCAAGTTGACGATCTCCAGCGGGGAACACTCCTGAGACAAAGAGACGGGGTTACCGCGGTTGAGGGCGTAAAAGGACAGGTTTTTCGGTTTTTGAAGCTAAGATTGGCAAGTACTTACACAGAACAAAAATGTTGAAAGCATAAAATACGATTCATCATCATCATCATCATCATCATCATCATCATCATCATCATCATCATCATCATCATCATCACCATCATCATCATCATCATCATCATTGTAAACATTAAGGAATAAAAATGGGTTGAGAATTTCCAGAAAATGTTATAAAAGTTTAACGTTTTGCCCAGTCAAGGGCTTCATCAGAAGCACACAAAAAAATGTTAGATCTAATGACTACAATCAGGGGCGGTTGTCATTCAACTGGACAAGACCGGCGGTGCCGGTCAAATTTTTGTCAACTGGACAGTTGACAAGAGATTTATTGGTGATGATGATTTTCATTCAGTTTTAAGTAAATCAAAACAAACATGTATCAACAGTCAAAAAGCGCCTTGCCGATTTGAAGGCGTTAAAATAGACAAGTGATTCACAGCTGTTTTGTCGCGTTTGTTTATCACGCCGGCTCACAACTGTTACAGTTAAATCGTCTCCTGTCACGTCGCGGAACTTCGTACGAGGACAAACCGAACACGGCTCGCTCAGCGATGACGTCAGTCCGCTGGGCAAATCC